TTTGTGTGGATTAACCAGCAGATTTCCCCTGTGTGATAACGTCCCATGGCAATGGAGCTCTGTCATAGCTACATCTGATGAGGCTACTCTCCATCCCACCTATTTTTTGCAGCTGGTAGCACCTCAGCAGAAGGATTTCCAAGGTGATGCAGATCAGGTGCTGGAAAGTGATGTCTACAAAACAAGGCACCTTCAGAACAGGTAGCTGGAGTTCTGCCACAACTGTTGCTTTGGGAGAATGCTGCAGATATAATTTCACAGGTCCCTGATCTGTAGCATCTTGGAACCCTTTTGTTGGGGTGCTGCCTGGTTTAAGAGGTAGTTTTTGGGATCACATTGGGTTATTAAAGAGTGTAACCATGAACCCCAAAAGTTACAAGATTGTAAGTCTAGCTACTGAACTACAGTACTACTGAAGCAGATGTTAACCATTTATTTTTGTGTATGTTGAGTATCTGATGTAATAAATCAGACACCTTAGTCACTAGTGCTACACAACTCCCATGCACACTCTTAGAAGTGGTGTTCAGTTTCTCTGACACCTCTTCATATTATTTTTCCCTTCTTCTGAAACCTAGAAGTAATGAAGGAAGTGTTCATGGTGAATGGGAATAAACAATTCAAGGGGAATTTGATAAACAGCCAGGTCTGTGTGGAAAACCAATTCTTTAATTAATTTGTATTCCAGTAACAGATGATCCTACAGGAGTAGTTCCTCATCAATTAACTTACTTGCAGTTAAGAGAAATTATTGATTTGGGGTGATCTGTGGGTGGAAATAAATTGTGAAGAATTTATTTGGAGTGGTCTAGATAGGACATTTATTGTTTGCCTACTGTGAAATTCAAATAAATCCCAGTGGTGCTTTTTTTTAACATTGGCATTTATGCTTATATATTAGCAGGCTGCAGCTTTGACCCTCTCTTCAAAATGTAGGCATACCTAATTATTTATTAGATTTGTGGATCTTTTAAGTACCTAGCAATACTCCTGTCTAAAGAGGGCAGGTTTTGACGCTAGAGATAAAGGCATGCCCTACACATAGGGATAACTCAGGATGCTGCAAGTGAATGGCATTTTGGCTGAGACTCTAATGTACAGTTTACTTAATGCAAGGGTTAATTCTCATTGTTTTGCTCTACTGTGTGATGTGACTGCCTTGGCAATAGCAAGGCAGGCAGGGTCTCCTGGGAAGGTGCACCATCTGCCAGGTGTTATCAAAGCCAGCTCGCTGTGTTCAAAAAGAAAGGTCCAGATAGGTGAATTCTACAGTTCTTTGTGAAAACCTCTTTCACTCTAGATTAGGGATGAGTTAAGTTTTCTATTCATGGAACTAGGAAAATGCATAAGGGAATAAAATCTATATGTTATCAGGTGTGGTGAGGGTACACATACCTTTTCATTGTGTGTATATGCTGGGATAGTCCTACTCAACCTTTCCATAGGCTGTACATGAAATGAATATATCATGTCTGGGGAACATGTGGCCATCTGTATATTGTTGGACCACAACTCCCATCTTCCCTGACTATTGTCATGCTGGCTGGGGTTGGTGGAATTTGGAACCTCTGCAAAACCTGAAGAATTGCACACAGGTTCCCCACACATGAGCTGTATAATCACCACATATGACAACCTATATGCATCAGTCTATATGCATATGTTATGCTTTTACTTACCCAGAAATGTTTCACGTAAAAGAAAACAACAACAACCTAGTAACAATCCTGGCATGACTGGTGGATAATGGCTGCCAAAAAGCTTGAAAGAAGTGGCCATGGGCAGTAACTTCTATGGCATATTACTATTGTGCTAGTAGTAAAGGAGAGATTTATGTAATCTTTGTTCCCTTAGGACCTGCTTGATTTTTCTGGGAACAGTCTCAGGACTGCTGGGACTTCTCTAGCATCAGCATGTTCCTCATTTTATCTTCCCTCTCCACCCTCCTTTCAAACGTGGCTGTGTGATGCTGTGTCCCAAAAGATGGGAAGCTGTATGAAAGGAAAGACACAGAAGCAGAGATGCCTTTGGGGCCAACCAAGCAGACAACTTTAATTATATGCTATATAGTACAATATATTCTAACTAACCGCTAGCTGTTTCTCTAAGTGCTTCCTTATCTCCCAGAGCAGTATAAAACCTGGGATGGATTGTCCTAGAAGAACTCTGGGCTTTCTTATATACCAGCTGGGAATGTGGAACAAATCCTGCATAAATGCTACACTGAGTCAGTCCTGTGTCATTTCTAAAAATAACTCAGCACTGTCTAACCCAACAACCTGTGAGCACCCTCTCCCACCTTCCCCAGTACATATGGGGTGACAGATTCCACCTCCTTGGCTGAGGAACATCCAACCATTTAGAATAAAGCTGAATCACAGAGATGATGGACAAGGTAGCCAAGATTATTTGTTTATCACCGGCTCCACATGATACCAGTCACATTTGATGAACTGACCTGTTATACTCAGAGTCCCAATACAATTTATAGGAATTGCTAGCAATTATCTGCTAGCAGTTGAGAGCCAGTGTGGTGTAGTGGTTTGAGTGTTGGACTACAACTCTGGAGATCAGGGTTTGATTCCCTGCTCAAGCATAAAAACCTAATGAGTGACCTTGGGAAAGCCATACTCTCTCAGCTTCAGAGGATGGCAATGGCAAACCCCCCTCTGAAGATACTTGTGAAGAAAACCCTATGATAGGTTTGCCTTAGATCACCATAAATAAAAAATGACTTGGAGGCACACAACAACAACAAGTTACCGGTACCTCTCTCATACAGTGGTTATCAATCAATCAATCAATCAATCAATCAATCTTTATATTGACTAGCCCTTTGGTCATTTCAAAAAAGAATATAACAAAATAAAATTCAGAAAGAATTATATACGGTAAAAATTAAAATTATTACGAATGTGATAAAATACATATAAATGAAAGTAAAATACTGTATGATTACAGTAATATAAATACAATACAATGGATACAATCTCCCTGAAAAACAAAGACAGAATAACATCAAATATCAGATTTCTTCATTACCCTACAATTTACACCAGGGGTAGGCAAACTTTTTGAGCCGGGGGCCAGGTTGCTTTCCCTTAGACAATTGGGGAGCTGAAGCACCATAAATAAATAAATAAATAAATAAATAAAATTTTAAAAAAAGTTAAAAAATTAAAAAAATATGCATGCACACTCTCTCAGCTCCAGAAAAGCCATGGCAAAACCCCGGAGGAGATTTTGCCAAGAAAAACCCAAGAACAAGTAATAACAACAATAATCAATATCATTATGGTGGGCGGCGGCGGCAGCGGCAGCAGGACCGGCCTGGGGCTGGTCCAAAGGCCTCGGGGGGCCACATCCGGCCCCTGGGCCTTAGGTTGCCTACCCCTGATTTACACCAATCATCCCCAGATATCTAGATCTCAACTGTATCACTTTATGTAAAAACCGAGCTGTGCTGTTAGTTATTTTTTAATCTTATCCTGATAAGGAGAACCTGTGACCCTTTAGTTTTTGTTGTACCTCAGTTCCTGTCTGCTTCAGCCAGCATGAGACGATGGGAAGTGTAGTCCAATAATATCTGGATGGATACAAGTTGCTCACTCCAGTTCTCTAATAGTATTTCTCTTAATATATTCTTTTTTGGCCAAATGGCTGTCGCAGATTTTTGAAACAATTACAAAATTCCTGCAAATTATATTTGACTGTGAGGGATTAGTGATTATGTGGCCCTCCAGTAGTTCCCATGCTCCCCTACATTGGCTATGCTGCCTTGGGATGATGATGGAAGATGAAAGCCAACAACCTTTGGATACTGAAACACACGTTTGCCACCTGTGTGCTAGACCAAAGAGTGGAACAAAAGACATAGTGGTGTAAGTGCTGAATAGTGACATTTCTTTCACACCATTTTAATTTCTCTCACAAATTCTCACCTGCTGCTAAAATGTTATTGAGACTACTTTCACAAGTGATTGTCTGTTGAGATGGTGTCTATTTCTATTCTAAATGCCACACTGCCTTGACAACTCAGTAGTTAATGTTACCATAAATTATACTGCTCCCTTAGTTCTTCAGAACATTTATGCCTGCCTTGAACTATCATGTCCTCTTTCTTTACACCAGTTGGATAGGAGGTGGTACAAATGGAGTTGCTCTTTTGAAGATACAGGAAAGGAAATGAGATTGTGTGTGTCAGATTGAATCTGCATTGCTGACTGAAGAACACAGTGGGCACAGCATGCTTATGGGACCTTCTATTTGCTTTTTGCTCAGTCTTTGGCTTATTCCTCCTGCCCCATTCCCTCTCCATAGCTTTTCAGTTCTGAACTGAAGGCTTTGCTAATGCGATGAGAAAGCCAGGAGCGTTCTCTAGGAATGATGCCTGACACTGGTAGACCACTGCCTTGGGGTTCAGTAGCTGCCTGGCAGCAACTGATGGATGTGGAGATGGGGGCTAATATTTCAGAATCCCTTTGATCAGTCTTGTCTGGAGACCTGAGGAACATACCTTCTGTGCACCCTGATGGATGGTTCTTGCTACAGGCTGATGTGCAAAAGGTGCCAGTGACTGTTGTGTGGGGATGTCATCTATTTGTGGTTGAACGTCACATCTCCCCATGCCCTTTGTGATGAGCCCTGTGATGGAGTAGTAGAATCAATAATATAGAATAACAGCTACCCTGTACAAGCGCTGGCTTCTGCTGGTTTCTCTGTTATTGGTGTGCATGATGGTTTGAGTAATGCAGCGCAGCAGTAGCTTTGGGCAGGAGAGGCAAGGATACACACAGGGCAGGAAGAACCCAGAAGAATATTCTCTCTAGGAGGATTCACTGCTGAAACATCCTGTTCTCTTCATGCAATGCTAATATGCCTTACAGGTCCAGAGATAATATTTGTCTCACCATTTTGTGTCTCACTTCAGGCAAGAAGGGAGTTGGTGATGAGGTGTGTGTGTGTGACTAAATGCCCCAACCAGATCTTTTCCCCATCTTTGGAAAAGTTCAGCTAGGGTGCCAGTACTTCTAGGAAACTACAGATGGAGCCACCTCCGGTTGAACTGTCTCTAAAGGATTTTATTAGCAAACCAAATAAAAAGTGTCAATAACCCCACCACCCATCATAACTTGACAGGCTGATTACAAGGGGCTAGGCCAGTTTATGCTTCCATGCTTGTGGGCAAAAGCATGGGGAGGAGACGCCGATTTTTGTCCCTGTTAGCAGGCAGCATGGTCATGTTTGTATGCACCAGAAGTGATTCTAGCTGCTACTTCAAGCAATTTTCAACTGAATTCTTTTTCTGTTTTTATGCTTAGAGGTGTTTAATGTGGGACCTAAGCTGTCACTCTTTTAGAGGTCTTTGTACCAGTTTGGGGCTTGAATATTGGCATTATTTTAAATTTGATGGGGTGGGGGAATTTGAAGGTCCCTGGGTAGCTTTGGGGGCCACAAAAGTGGGATTCCATGCTTGGATGCATGCACTCGCAAGCTGCACTGATCCCACCCATCACTTGGACTTGTTGCAGTGGTAGATCCCCAGCCTCTAAAAGCACCCTGAATGTGGAACTGTATCTTTTGCACTTTTGGAGGGGCTGGCATAGCTGAGGGGAGAATCTCCAATGGTAGAGCTCATAAGGGGTTCAAGGCAAAATGCCTGATCTCTCTCTCTCTCTCTCTCTC